AAGTGTACGCGAGGGAAGCGGGTGGAGGTGAACGCAAAGGAAAGGGAGAGGCTTTGTGATTCGTCATGCAATTTTTTAGGAGCAGGGAAATCCGGACGGGCAGGCTTGCTCATGTTATTTTCAGTTTTGGCTCGGCAGGGCCAGCCTCACCCATGGCGCCGTAGGCTCGCCACCACCTGCGGCGGCGAGGCGGGATCACGAAGGGGTCGTCCTCATCTTCGCCACCTCTCCCTTCTCCTTGTATTCTTTCCTTCTTCTCACTTCTCTCTGCGTGGGCATGGGCGACGTCGATCGGTTTTTGCTTGTTCGAGCACGGACGAGTGTGTGTCTGTAAGTCCTGGTGCTCTGTGAAGCGACCCTGCCTCCAATACGATGGCCTGGGGTCACGGCCTAAAGCGGAGAAGCAGTCAGGCGGATGCAGCCAGGTGTAGGGGGAACCCAACGAGGCCGCTGGTTGTGAGCATGTTGCAACTTGGATGGTTGTACATACATGTATGACTATACATTTTATATGTGTAATGATGCATACATCTGGATGTCTACGTATGTGTGTGTAGGCATGTATGTTCACTAGATACAGATCCATGCATGTACGCATACATGCAGTATGCATATAGGCATCCATGCATGCATGCGTGCATGCATGTATGTATGTATGTATGTATGTATGCATGCATGTATGTATGTATGTATATCTATCTATCTATCTATCTATCTATCTATATATCTATCTATATATCTATATATCTATATATGTATGTATGTATGTATGCATGTATGTATGTATGTATGTATGCATGTATGTATGTATGTATGTATGTATGTATGTATGTATGTATGCATGCATGCATGCATGCATGCATGTATGTATGTATGTATATATGTATGTATGGATGTATGTATGTATGTATATATGGTCGCATGCGTGCATGTATGTACGCAATTATGCAGGTATGCATTTATACATGTTTGTATGCATGAATATAGGTGTGAGCATACAGGTATTCACGTTTGTACGTATGTATATACATGCATGCACGTATGTATATAGGTATGTGTACATGCATGTATGTATAGTTGCATGCATGCATGTATGTATGCATGTATGTATATGTGTGTTTGTGCACGTATGTACGTATATATGCATGCAGGCATGTCTGAATGTATGTATACAGGTATGTATGTATGTGTCTTTGTATGTATGCACCTATACATGTATATATGTATATATCTATGTACACACTTCTATGTATGCATGTCTACGTGCATGAATTTGTGCAGGTATGCATGCATTTATGTACGTATGCACGCATTTGGGTTTGCATATACGTGTGGATACATGTATGTATATATATATATACATATATGTATGCATGCGTGGTTTGTGCGGTATGTGCATGTACGTATGTGTGTATGCATGTTTGCATGCATGTATTCATGTATGTATGCAATGCATGTACATATACATGCATGTATGCATGTTGTGTGCATGCATCTATGTATGGACACGTACGTACGTACGTATGTACGTACGTCTGTACATACATGTATATATGGTACGCGTGGCATGGTATGTATGTATGTATGTAAATATGTGGTCGCCCCCCCCTCCAAGATCATACCTTTTCGTCTCCTCATCCTCGATTGCTTCTTTTCCTTTCTCTCTCCCTCTCTCTCTCTCTCCTTTCTCTGTCTCTGGGCTCTCTCGGGACTCTGACCGTTGAGAACCGCTGTGCTTTCAAGGTTTTCCAGATTTTCCAGGTTTTCCCAGACACTGACCATTGAGAAACGCTGTGTTTTCCAGGTTTTCCATGTTTTCCATGTTTTCCCAGACACTGACCGTTGAGAAAAGCTGTGTTTTCCATGTTTTCCAGGTTTTCCAGGTTTTCCCAGAGACTGACCAGGTGAAAAGCGTTGTGTGTTTCCAGATTTTCCAGATATTCCCGATCCTCCCAGAGACTGCACAAGTGAAAAACGTTGTGTGTTTCCAGATTTTCCAGATATTCCAGATCCTCCCAGAGACGGCACAAGTGAAAAACGTTGTGTTTTCCAGATATTCCAGATATTCCAAATCTTCGCAGATATTATTCTGATCAGCTTGCAGCATTGTTTCTGGGAGGATCTGGAATATTTGGAAAATCTGGAAAACAAACCGTTTTTCACTTGGGCAATCTCTGGGAGGATCTGGAATATCTGGAATATCTGGAAAACACAACGTTTTTCACTTGTGCAGTCTCTCGGAGGATCTTGAATATCTGGAAAATCTGGAAAACACAACGTTTTGCACCTGGGCAGTCTCTGGGAAGATCTGGAATATCTGGAAAATCTGGAAAATACAACGTTTTTTTCACAAAGGGCAATCTCTGGAAGGATCTAGAATATTTGGGACATCTGGAAAACACAGCGTTTTTCACTTGGGCAGTCTCTGGGAGGACCTGGAATATTTGAAAAACTGGAAAACACGGCGCTTCTCACCAGGGCAGTCTCTGGGAGGATCTGGAATGTTTGGAAAATCTGGAAACACAACCATTTTCACCAGGGCAATCTCTGGGAGGATCTGGAATATCTCGAAAATCTGGAGAACACAACGTTTTTCACCAGGGTAGTTTCTGTGAGGAGCTGGAATATCTGGAATATCCTTTTGCGAGGCTTTCCAATCGAATCCCTTTGTGGTTTTTCCTAATGGTTCCTTTTGTGAGGCTTTCCAATAAATCCTTTTGTGCTGCTTTCCAAACGGTTGCTGCTGTGAGGCTTTCCAATATAATCCCTTTGTTGCGCTTTCCAAAGGATTACTTTTGTGAGGCTTTCCAATAGAATTCCTTTGTGGTGCTTTCCAGAGGATTCCTTTTGTGCGGCTTTCCAATAGAATCCGTTTGTGGTGCTTTCCAAAGGATTCCTGTTGTGAGGCTTTCCCATAGAATTCCTTTGTGATGCTTTCCAAAGGATTCCTTTTGTGAGGCTTTCCAGTAGAATCCCTTTGTGGGGCTTTCCAAAAGGATTCTATTGGAAAGCCTCAGAGCAGGAATCGTTTGGAAAGCACCACAAAGGGATTCTATTGGAATGCCTCACAAAATGATATTCCAGATATTTCAGATCTTCACAGAAACTGCCCCGGTGAAAAACATTGTGTTGTTTTCGGGCGCGGAGGTGAGAACCCTGGCCAGGGAGCCTTCTCAGGTTCCCTCTCCAACACATCAAACGGGCAAGGAAGCCTTTTCAGGCTTCCCCTCCCGCCACTGGCCAGGGAGCCTATTCAGGTTCCCTCTCCAGCACATCAAACGGGCCAGGAAGCCTTTTCAGGTTTCCTCTCCGGCCACTGGCCAGGGAGCCTTTTCAGGTTTCCTTTCCAGCAAGTCAAAACGGGAAGGGAAACCTTTTCAGGTTTCCCCTCCCGCCTCTGGCCAGGGAGCCTTTTCAGGTTCCCTCTCCAGCACAACAAACGGGCCAGGAACCCTTTTCAGGTTTCCCCTCCCGCCACTGGCCAGGGAGCCTTTCCGTGTCGGCCACATCGTCGAAGGAGCACATCGTCGACGGGTCATCCATAAATGGATGCCCCCTTCTGCCGCATCAAGGCACGATGGAAGGAGACCCTGGAACCGATGCGCAGACATAATGAAGATAAGCGTGGTAAAGATGCATAGGAGGGAGATGAGGGTGAATGCGGTTCAAGACGAGATGTATGATTTTGGAGGGGGGGGGGACCAAATATGAATATACGTATATATGTATCTATGTATGCATGTATTTATGAATATATGTATGTATATATGTATGTATGCATGCAGGTATGCATACATGTATATATGTATGTATGTATATGTGTATGCATGTATGTATGTTTGTATGATTTTAGGTATGTATACATGCATGTCTGTATGCATGCATATATGAATGTATGCCTGCCTGTATGTATGTATGTCTATATGCGTCTATCTACATACATACATACATACATACATACATACATACATACAACCATACATATATATATATATATATGTATGTATATGTACAAGTCCATTTGCATGATTGGCTGCACGCGTGCGCACACATGTAGATATGTATATATACAATTCACATAGGTATATTTATATGCATGTGTGTGTGTATGTATGTCCTTCGGCCCATTCCGCCACCGTGCCTTGGTTGTGGGTCAGACTCCTCAGGTATTCTTCTTGAGGTCTCTTCGGAGGTCTCTCGGGGGCTTCCAGGGGCAGGTGTGAGGCTTCTTGGGAGCCTTTGGGGGCTTGTGGGGGCCTCTTGGGGCCTCCTTGGGGCCTCTTTGGGGCCCCCGGGGTCCGAGGGCTCAACATGTTGGTTTGGGTTCCCCCTCTGGGGCACCTATTGGGGCGTTCTGGGGGCCTCTGTTTTGGCTGTCTTTGGGGCCTCCCGGGCAGTCTTATGGCTCTCTTTGGCTGTGTCACCGCCCTCTTTGGGGCCCCTGGGGCCGCCTTTGGTCAACCTTTGCGGCTTCTTGGTCGTCTTGGAGCGTGAGGAGGCCGAACAGGCGAGAATGCCGACATCGTGCAATCACCAAGCGAAAATCAGTGAATCGGGCCATTTCTGGCTCACTTTGGAGTGCTTCTTGGGGTTTCGTCGTAGGGCTCTCGGGGGCCTCTGCGGGGGGGCAGCTTTGAATCTCGGGGACAGCTTTGAAGCCTCGTGGGAGCTTCTTTGAGGCCTCCTTGAGCTTCCTGGAGGCTTCTTGGGAGACTGTTGAGCCCGGGGGGGAAGTGAGAAGGGGCGGGCCTTCTCAGAAGGCTCGGAAGTCTCCAGGCCTTCAGAGGAGTTTTCTAAGCCTTCCCCGAATGCACAGCCAGGGCTTCTGAGAAGCTTCGCCGCCTACTGATAAGGCTTTCTCCTTCTCGCTTTCCCCCCTCGCTCGCCGCCGAGATTGGTCGAGAGGGAGGGGTGGAGGGGAAACGGAGGGGGCCCTTCACCTCTCCTGCGGGCCCGCCGTCGCGCTTCTGCCCGTTGCCCGCTCCCGTCTCCGCAGGGCCATGGCCGCCGCCGCCGCCAGCAGTGGTCGCTCTGGGCGGGGGCGGGTGCTGGCTGGCGTGGGAGGAGGGGTGGGGAGGAGGAGAAGGAGGCGGAGGGGGGGGGAGGGATGGAGGGAGGGATGACTGGAGGGTAGGAGGGACGATGGGTGATGCTGATGCTGATGACGATGACGATGACGATCATGATGATGATGATGATGATGATGATGATGATGATGATGATGATGATGATGATGACGATGATGATGGTGGTGATGCTGACGACGACGATGCTGATGATGATGATGCTGATGATGATGGTGATGACGAATGCTGGTCAGGATGCTGGTAATTAGGATGACGGTGACGATACCGATGATGATGATGATGATGCTGCTGATGATGATGTTTATTCTGATGACTACGATGATGATGCTGACGATAATGATATTGCTGATGATGATGCTGATGATGAAAATGATGATGCTGCGGCTAATGACGCTGATGATGATGATTATGCCGATGCTGAGGATGCTGTTGCTGATGATGATGATGATGCTGATGCTGATGCTGCTGCTGATGATGCTGATGCTGATGCTGATGCTGATGCTGAGGATGCTGCTGCTGATGCTGCTGCTGATGATGATGATGATGCTGCTGCTGGTGATGCCGTTGATGGTGGTGATGATGATGCTGCTGCCACTGATCATGATGGTGACGATGAGGCTGATTCTGCTGATGCTGATTACTGGTGCGGATGATGATGATGATGATGACGAGTGATGCTGATCATGATGGTGATGCGGCTGATGCTGATTCTGACGTTGCTGTTAATGGTGCGGATGGTGGTGGTGATATTGCTGCGTATACTGAGGTTCATGATGTGGTTGATTAGCATGATGATATGGCTTCTGATGCTGCTCATTGTGTTGACGATGCGGAAGGTGGTTGTGGTGATGCATACGGCTCTCAGTCGGACGATGCAATGATGCATATGTGATTGTGGTGCTGTTGTTGGTGACGGTTCGTATGGCGACGCGAATGATGACAAGGCTGCGGCTGAGAGGGAAGATCATAATGATTACGATGCTTCTGGTGCCAATGGGGAGAACACTGCGATTGTATACGCGATTTTTGGTGGAGGGGGAGAGAGAGAGAGAAAGAGAGAGAGAGAGGAGGATGGGGTAGCCTTGTCGGACTTGCCCCATGTTACCGACCTCAGAATGAGGAGGAGGTGGAGGCTACCTTGTCGTCGCGTTGCTCTTCACCGTCAACGCGTCGCTCTGCGGCTTCTGTAGGGGTAAGTGTGCGTGCGTTGCGTGTTGACCTCGTTTCTGCTTGCGAGGTGCAGGAGGAGGAGGAGGACGATGTGGAGGATGAAGAGGAGGAGGAGGAGGAAGAGGAAGAGGATGAGGAGGAGAATGAGGAGGAGGAGAGAAAGAGGAGGAGGAGCAGGAGGAGCAGGAGGAGGAGGAAGAGGAAGAGGAGGAGGAAGAGGAGGAGGAGGAGGAGGAGCATGTGGAGGATGAGGAGGAGGAGGAGGAGGAAGAGGAAGAGGAGGAGGAAGAGGAGAAGGAGGAGGAAGAGGAGCAGAAGGAGGAGGAGGAGGAGGAGCAGGAGGAGGAGGAGGAGGAGGAGGGGGAAGGGGAGGAGGAGCACGGTGGCGCCCGCGCGGGAAGGGGGAGGGGAAGGACGAGTGCTTTTTGTTTATTTGTTTTCTGTTTTTTCCTTTCTTGGTCGGATGCATGTGTCCTTGTTTTGTGCATCGCGTGCCATGGGGTGCCACACTGCCAACGCGTAGACGTTTCTCATTCATAATTGGCAACTCCTGTAGAAAGGATGCGGCTCTTTGCCCAGGACGGAAGCAGTTTGCGGTCTAACGTCCAAGTGTCCCACTGAGGTGTTGACGTGCAATGGCATGTCGATATTAATTCACAGCGTTCAATGAACAGTTTCATATCATGACTGCGCGGGATATTGCTTGATTTCAGTGGGTAAACGCAGTGTAGTGTTGGTTTTGGGCGCGGCCGGGGGTTTTACCTTCCTGAGAGCTACGTCGCTGCCTCAACCTCTTCGACTCAGATTTCCTACTTATTTTCGCCACTTCTTTTCTTGCTTGATGTTCCTGCTTAATTACCTTCTGAGTTTTCCCGTTCAATTTCCTGTTTAATTCTGCTGTTTAGGTTCCAACTGAGTTTCCTGCTGAATTTCCTGTTTAATTTCCGGGTCTTTTTCATGCATCATTTCTTTTTGAGTTGCTCGGTTCAGAAGTATGAAGTAAGCATGCTCTGCTAATTTAGGTTGCGATATATGTCCTTAGCTAATTAACGCCGCTAGTGTATTGCTAGTTTGGGCATGCCCTGCGTATACCAAAGTTTGGCGGGCAATTGCCGGTACTAATTTGCGGGTACTGCTGGGAGCTCCCGGAGAAAAGTTTATTTGCCCCTGATTGAAGGTGAAACGAGGGCCCTAAGCGCTGAAATCAACGCTTCAGTGGTCTCTGCAGCTTCCTTTTCCTGTTTAATTCAGTTTTCTGCATAGGTTCCTGCTTAATCTGCGTGCTTAATGCTCAATTTTCCTGTCTAGTCTTCTGCTTAACTCGCCTACTTGATAGTCTGCTTAATTTTCCAGTTTGTTTTCATGCTTCGTTTTCGTTCTTAATTTCCTTGTTGTTTGTTTGTTTGTTTAATTTCTTGTTCAATTTTCCTGTTTAGTTTCCCTGCTACATTTCCCTGCTCACTTTCCGTGCTTGAGCTTCTGCTTGATTTCTTGTTTGATTATCATTCATATTTGGCAGTTGTTATCAGTGTAGAAGCTTTCTATTTTGGTGCTAATTGTTGTGCTAAACGTGGAGGTGAAACGGGACTCAATTTTGAGGGTCAGTTTGTGCGCTCATTTTCGTATCAGTATCCATTCCAGTTCCAGCTCGATCTTCTGATCACTTTCGCAGCGAGCTACTGCTTTTATCTGTACGGTGGGGATGCAATTTTCGTCCGTACTTATGCACAGGCGTCAGTTCCAACCTCCATTTAGCCAAATCCCGTGCGGTTTCGACCCCACCTTCCTCGCACCAGCAGGAGTGCATGCCGGCAGGAGGCAGACGTTTGGTAGTCGACACAACCTTTGGCTACCTCTCCATAAACCCAAAAGTACGGACATGCAGTCAAAATAGTGCCCACATCGTCATAGCCTTGATTCGTCACGATCCTTTCCTAGTTTTTCTTTTCTGTGTCTCTCTCTCTCTCGGTTTGTCTATCTGTCTGTCTGTCTCTCTCTCTCTTTTTAGTCCGCCACGCAAGTTCTTCTGTAAGTCTTCACATAATTTTCTTTTCGCGGCCTGACAGAGTGATTCCTGCTGCAGCGGGCTTTCACACAAGGTTTCCTTTGGTGGAGGATTACGCATTGATTCCTGTTGTGTGGGCCTTACAAAAGAGTTTCTGGCGAGGGTATTAAGAAGACCAGGAGGAGAACGAGTACAACTACGTGGAGCATATATGAAAACTGTGAAGCGTATTGTGTTCTGATTGTGCTTGGTGTCCAATATTGCTCGAACCCTGTGAAAACACATCTGTTGCAGCATCCAGAGCTCCACGACTCTGCATTTTACAGTTTATCATTTCCTCCCGATGCCGAAATAATGGTGGACCACAGCGGTTTCAGCAACCATGATTGAGATTTGTTAGTTGTATCGCGTTTTTGGGTTCTGGAAGCAAAACAACGGTGTACAACCTCTTTTGGTTTTGATGGTTGAAAACGTTTTGGAGATGTGGATTCTGAACATGCGATGAGTTTCGATTTTTTTCGCAGTGTCCAATTCCGAAACATTGAGTGCGCAGTACATTGCACAGTTTTTTGATGCTCGTATTGTTGTACTTCCTCCCTTATGTTTCGGCCAATGTGTGCCACAACATGACATCATTTGGTAAGGCCGCCGCAAGCGTAATCTTTTTCATAACCCGCAGCGGCAGGAATCATATTATAATCCTCCACAACAGTAATCCTGCTGTAATCCACCACAAAAAGGACTCCCTGTGTCACCCGCCGCAGAAAATGCGAAGGGTTTACGGCCAGTGCCGCCGACGGTGAAAGGGGGACAACGAAGACGTCGACGGCGTCGGCGACGATAAAACAACCTCCCTTGAGGTTTTTGGGGGTTCCCGCGAAGCAACCTCCCTACCCTTCAAAACACCTTCCTGAAGGGAGGTTTTGGTGGGTTCCAAAGGACAGCACAAACCGATTGAACCATTCCAATAATGTCCTCAATGGTTTTTTTGGGTAGTGTTCTGGGTGACACTTCCCGGATATCCAAACATCTTTCTTGAGGGTGATTCTTGGGGGGAGGGGCTTGGGGGGGAAGCCCCCTTGACATAACCTCCAAAAAGTCCTCCCTCGAGGCGGGCTTGGGGGGTTCCATTACCCCTCTGGATTTTTTTCTTGGGGGGGTCCAGGAGGACCCTCCCGAACCCCGCCAAAGAATTCTCTTAAGGAGCTTGGTGGGGCTCTCGGCCTCCCCCGCCCCCGAACCCTTCGAAGAACCCCTCTTGAGAGGGACTTTGGTGATTCTCGGGCACCTTCCCTCCTTGAAATCTGCACTCAAGGAAGGTCTCTGGCATGTTCCAACGGAACAAACCTTCCGAGCCCGTCACCCCCACCAAAGGGGATTTTTGGATGGGATCCGTGAGATACCCCCTCCCCTTAGCCCCAACATAACTCCCCTCAAGGGTTTTCTTTGAGGCGCTCCGGGGGGACATCCCGTCTAACCCCCAAACCCCTTTCCTTGGGGGGGGGGATTTTTTTGGGGGTTCCCGGGTTGAAGCCCGATTAAGCTCTCCAGCAATTTCTTATCAATGGCGTTTTCGGGTTTGTTTGTTTCAAAGGGGGGTTGTGCGCGATGGGGTGTGCTGGGAGCGCTGCATGGGTAACCCCCGTACCCTCCCTCCAACCTCCCCTTGCAGACTTGTTTCTCTTGGGGGGGCGGGGGGGGTTTTGGAGGTTCCGTTGTTTCGTTTTGTTTCTTTTTGGGTTCTCACAACACAGTATTGTTTTTTGTCGTGCGGACGCGGTTCCCCCCAAACAACCCCCCAAGCCTCCCAAGCTCTCCTCCGCCCCCGGGGCCCGGGCCCCCAACCCCTCTCCCCCTTCGTTTGGGGACAATGTAGTAGTTTGTCTTGTATGGCTGTATGAATGTATTTATGTGTGTATGCATGTAGCTATGTATGTATGTATATGTGTATGTATGTATGTATGTATGTATGTATGTATGTATGTATGCATGTATGTGTTTACTGATGTATACATGTATGTATGTTTGCAGGCATATACTTATGTATACATTAATGTTTTTCGGTGTGTATGTATGCATACATATGTACATGTGTATGTACATACGTATGCAGGTCTGTATGTTTGTGTATGCATGAATCTGACTACATGTACGTATGTATGTATGCATGTATGTATGCATATCTGAATGTACGTATGTCTGGATGCATGTATGCATCTATGTATATACACACATGCATTCGTGTAAGTATGTTTTTGAATCTGCATGTACGTATGTATGTATGCATGCATGCATGCATGTATGCATGCATGCCTGCATCTATTCATGCATGTATGTGTGTATGTATGCATGCATACATCTCTGCATGCATATATGTATATGCGTATTTATCTATGTATGCACTTATGCATGCACGTATGCGCGTATGCATATCTGTATATATGTATGTATGTACGTATGACTGTGTGCATGTGTATATGTATGTACGTATACATGTATGTATGTATACATGGATGTATGTATAAACACATGTACGTGTGTATGCATGTGCTTATGTATGCTTGCATGCATGTATGTATGCATGCATGCATGTAGGCATGTTTTTACATATACACACGCAAGGGGTTTCCCGAACCTTCCACACCCCTCTCCCGACTAGAGCTGCATCGGTGGCCCAGTGGTGGGTGCGGAGAAAGCGGGAGTCAGTATCGTTTAGCCGACCCCTATCCCTATCCCCATCCCCATTCAGACCCCCGCCATCTCACCACCCCAGTTGTGTATATACACCTTCAGAAGCCCAAAGGAAACAATTTATATCTCCTTCCAGGGGGGTACATCGGCCAGTGGACCCAGGTCACTCCCATGGGGATAGGTGTCGGTTAAACGATGTTCAAGGATGAAGCGGAGGAGGATGGGGGATAAGGGGATGTGGTAGTGAATCATGTGGGCTTCGTATGTCCTCGTCATTCCGCCTTTGGGCGCATTGGCGTGTGCTAGCGACTGGTAATCTGTGGGAGAGCGCCGGTGGAGCGTCGATTGGCGTCGTTTAGCGCCGATTAGCGTCGGTCAGCGTCGATTGGCGTCGGCCAGCAAGATGGCTTGGGATGCTCCCCTGAGTTGCCATCGACGGGGGAGAGCCCTCCCTTTCGGGACCTCTCGGCAACAGGTGCCTCTGGGACTTCGCTCATGTGCCCGCCACTCTAGGGTCCACACGTCTCCAGGCGACCGCTGCCGCCTCAGTTTGTCCTGGGCTGAGGCGGCATATTTCACGTTTGTCAAAGACATGCACGTTGCTGCCAACAAAATAATGGAGCGCGGGGCAGCGGGAGAATGAGGATGACGAGGGCAGTTGCGGTGGCGGTGGCGGCGGCTTCACTGGATATCTGGGATATCTGATTGTGGCGGTAGAGTCAGAGGCAACCTCAGCGGCGGTCGGGGTGGCCACGGCTTCGGTGGGGACGGGCGAAAGGTCGCGCCTCTGTGTGCTGGCTGCTGGCGTGCTGCCTCATAGGCGCGCCTCGCCCCCCCCCCCCCCCCCGCCGCCTTACATTTCACGACGCTTTGGGGGGGGGGGGGTGAGGTGGAGAATGAACTCTGCCGTGCAGGAGCAATATATCGAAGACGCATACTGCGAATCATCGCCGCCCCTCGCCTTCTAGAATCGCCCATGTGGCCGAGCGTTGTGGCAAAAGCTCTGCCAAGGTATCGGGCCATGTGTTCCCCCAACCGTTGTGGAAACCCTTCGGGGAACACTTGGGGGAGGATGGCGGGGAAGATCAAGAGGAGGCGGAGGAGGTGGAGGAGGAGGTGGAGGAGGAGGGGGCTTCTTGGGAGCCTGGACACTCTTGGGGCCTCTTGGGAGCTTAATGGGAGTCGCTTGGACCTTTGGGGGTTTCTCGGGAGCCTCTTTGGCCGTCTTGGTGGGCTCCTGGCCCGTCTGGCGCCGTCGGAAGCCGTCTTGGGGACCTTTCTGGGCCGACTTGGGGCCCTCTTGGGGTGCTCCAGGGCCGTCTTGGATGCCATCTTGGGCGTCTTGGAGCCCTCTTGGGCTGTCTTGGGGCCCTGTTGGGACCGTCTTGGAGGCCTTCTGGGCCGTAATAGGGCCATCTTGGAGGCCTCTTGGGCGCTCTGGGGCCGATCTTTCGGCCCTGTTAAGTCGTCGTGGGCCGTCGGACGGCTGGAAACTAGCAAAAGCCAAACTCCTTCAAATACCTAAGGAAAACCATTCATCTTGGCCTCTTCTGGCCCTCGTGGAGGACCTCTTGGAGGCCTCGTGGGCCGTCTTGGAGGCCTCTTGGCGGCCTCTGGGGCCGTCTTAGGCCGTCTTAGGTGTTTCTTATACGAACTTGGAGGCATCCTTGACTCTCGTGGGCTGTCTTCGAGGCCATCTTGCACCATCTTGGGCGAACTTGGAGGCCATCTTGGGCCATCTTGGCCATCTTGGAGGCCATCTTGGAGCGGTCTGAAGCAGAAAAACCCTTTGCAACCACCTTTTGTGCACACTTGCGGGTGGCTGGCGGAACGGGCCGAAGCCCCAGGGGGAGTTTTGGAAACCCAAAGCGGAAGGATTCAGCACGCCGGGCACCCCTGTGATGAATCAGCAGGGGGCGGCGGATCTTATGGCCTCTGGCCCATCACGCCACCGTGTCTGGGTTGTGAGTCTGAGGTCTCTTGCATGTTCGTTGGGATCTCGTCGAGGCCTCTGGGGGGTGGCCTTGAGGCAGTTTTCAGGCCTCAGGGGGCTGTTTAGGGGCCTCTTGGAGCCTCAGTTGGGCCTGTTGGGCCTCTTGGGGCCTCTTGGGGGCCTCTTGGGGTCCTCTTGGGGCCTCTTGGTAGCCTCTCGGGGCGGGAGGCTCTCGTATTCCTGCGTCACCTCTTTGGCCCCTCTTCGTTCGTCTTGGGGCCCTCTTGGGCTGTTTTGAGCGCCTCTTGGGCTGTCTTGGGGCCGTCTTGGGTCGTTTTGAGGCCGTGGGGGCCCCTTGGGCCGTCTTGGGGCGGTTTTGCTGGCCTCTTGGGCCGCTCTCAGAGCGTCGGAAAGCCGAAAAGGCGAGACTCCCAACATACTTTAAACGAGGTTTAAGGAGAGGCTGTATAGCGAACGCTATATCCGACGCTGTCTTGGCTCAAGGCAGCGCTGTCCTATATGCCAGGTGCTCGCGATTGTGTTCGCCTCAATTGGGGTCTTAGCAACAGACAAAGGCCACGTCCTTCTATAATCCATCTTCCATTCCCATGGTTCCTCTCTTATATATCTTTTTGTTTGTCATCAAGGGATGAGTTGTGAGATGCTTCGATACGTCGCCGACGTTATTCTGAGAGTAAAGTTCTCAGCCTATCACCTCACTTCCTTTTTCACTTGGTAGTTGAGCTGGCTACATCGTCATGTGGCTGGTTCTTACAGCAGGTGTTAGGTACATAACAACTTACCACGGCGCAGTGGAGTACCAGACTGCGGCGGCTCTCAGCCACTACACTTCCCAGTGCTTTCGAACCAATTGGTAACCTACAGTTCTATACCTTCATCTCCTCACCGCGTGGCCACACGCCACGTCGGCTGCGTGCGCCAGCCGCGCTTGTTTTGGGGCTTGGAAGTCAGCGTTCTCGAGTTCCTGTTCGTGACGCCCGCGGCGAATTGCGTCGAGCTGCACCGCCTGGGCAAGCTTGCGCAGGGCCTCGCCGTGGTGTGGTGTGCGGGGCAGTCGTTGCCTCTGTCCTGGGCGCCCGAAGTAGGTCGTGCGTGGCAGTCCCGGGTTCAGTCCAGCAGACGTGCGCCTGGTGTTGGGGACCAGGGCTGCACAGCAAAATTGTGCAGTATTTATATTTCGTTTTTTGAACAAGAAATAACGCATACACGTGACACACTTTTCATGTATAGCCCTGTCAGGAATCAAGTTCGCTCCGATGTGCGCCGCCGGGCTCTTCCTGCGGCGGTTCCTCGGTGATGGGCGCTTGCGCCCGTTGGCGTCCTACGTGAAGGGCAATGTGCTGTGGGGCGACGATGAATCGCGTCCGTTCGCGTCATTCAGAAGTGAGGTTTCCGTGGGCCTCCCGCCAGGGTGCGCGCGGGACTTGGTGCTGGCGGCATCGCAGACAATATGCGCTGCGCGCCCGAATGCCATCGGCAGTTCCATGGACGGTGCTTATCCCCACCCTTTTTCTACGGTCCGTGCCGCTAGGTCACTGGCCAGCCGCTTCGACGATCTCCAGCCCCACTGACGCGGGGGCTTTGTGGAGGACGGGCATGGTGAATTTTGGGAAGGGGATCTGCCGGGGTGCGTGATGGCCTTGCCGCGCTTCCGCTGGGGTGCCGAGGTGCTGCAGGCCGTGCTGGCGATGCTTCTGGGGCCCGCGGGCCACGGGCTGCGAGCGCTGCCGGGGCCGAGGTTGCCCGGGCCTGCGAGCACCTGGCGCGAGTGGACGTCGCTGCCCTCTCGGCAGTGCGGCGCATGATTACCTCGCCAGTCGGGGCGCGCCCGCCTGCATGAAGGAGCCAGACCTGCAGGCCTGAATGTCCAAGTGCCCTGAAGCCTGGGCCCAGGCGAAGCAGCGCCGGCCGAGTGCGTCTCCCCTTGGCGGCCCGCCTCTGGTCGACATGGGTTGGGTGTGGGCGCCAGACCGCCGCGCGGAGCAAGCGTTGGTCTTCCTGCGCCCGTTCCGCCAGGAGTCTGGGCCGGAAATGGACTTGCAGTGTGGGGTCGACTGCTGCGCCTCCCTGGGGCCCAGATCCTTGTCATCAGGTGTCCGAGATTGGGCGGTCTTCGCGTCGCCGTGGCAGCTGGCGAGCCAACCTATCTGCGTCTTCTGGCCAGGCGCCGCGTGCGCGTCGATTAGGCCCCCGGTGTGCGCCCGATGTTCGCTGCCATGCTGGTCGTCCTCCTCGGCTGGCAAAGCAGGGCCTTCCCCCCGGCGGCCGGCGCGCGGGCTTGCCGTCGCTGGGAAGCTCGATCCGTCGGACGTTCTGAGTCCCATCTGAGGCGACGACCAGCGTGGGCGCGCGCGCTCGTGCTGGGGGGTGGCCCCGCCCGGGCAGACGCGGAGGCTTTCGTGGGCGCCCTCGTGCGCGACACATTGGTCAAACAGCAGACCGCGGATGTCCCAGGAGTCAGTGGGGGCCGCCCACGCTGGTTTGGCCGACGGGGCGCGCGAAGATTTGGGGGATATCTTCGGGAATAGTGGATTCCGACCTTTTCCCGGGCATGTCCTCGACGATGGCGGGCCCATCAATGGCGGCTAGAGGCCCGGGGTCAATCTTTTGATCGCCGTGGCGGAGACTGCTGTGTATATCCCTCCGTTCTGCCGTTTGTGAGTCATTTCTCGGGATTCAGCTCTGCAGAACCACAGGAGATGTGCCAGCGTGGGTCTCTATGCGCGGGTCCGTCGAGGACTGGGGTGCAGAGCGTCGGCAGTTTGTCCCTGCAGCCCACCAGATGCGTTTCAACGCTTTCGCGGTGCCGCGCCCATAGCTCCCGCGGTGGTGCAGCTCAGCGCTGCGGGGCTTGCCGTGCGGCCTGGGCGGCGCCGTCAATCAGTTCGCCCGCTGCGCTGCGCATCTCGCGGCCGTTGCCCGAGGTTTGCCCGTCGTTGCGTGCGGCCACTGCGTGGGCGACAACGTGGTCATGGAGCTGGCCGGCCCTCTGGATGATGGGCGCGGCGTGGCCCGGGACCTCGCTGGCCTGGCTGGAAATTTGCCGTCAGACAAAAAACTCAGCATTCATTCCGCTGCTGTCGCATTCCTGGGGCATCTTGGATGTGTCCACGCTGTGCCTGGACCAGGCGATCGTTTGCGCCCCGAAGCTGGGTGTCCGCGAAGACAGGGCCATCCTGTGGAGGGGCGGGCTTTCGTCGTGGGTGGCGGCCCCCGTCCTGGGCGTTACTGGGTGGTTCAGGGCGTCCGTGTCGCGGGGCCGCGACCGCATCTGTCGCTCGCCGACGCTGCGTGCGCGAGCCCAGTGTCACGCCGAACCTGGACTAGGCTACCCGCTACCTACTGGCCGTTCGGAGTCGGTGCCGGAATTTGCCTCCGACAAGTTCCTGCGGCCAGACCCGCCGCTGGTCGTCTACGCGGGCGCCAGCGCCGAATGGTCCATGGTCGGGGTTGGATGCGTGATCTTAGAGGTGTGCAGGCTGCTGGCGATCGTCGTCAACGTCGTCTCGGAGCAGATGCGGCCCTTGTTGGGCGTGCGCGGCGCAGTGATCACCCGGGCGGAGCTGCTGGCGGCCCCGCTGATGGTCTACTCGCCCCCCGCCCGTCTGAAGGGCGCAGGGGTCATTTGGTTTCGCAGCGCGAGTGCGGGGGCGGTGCTGGCCTGATATCCCAATTTACTTTAGTCGTGACCACCAGAAACTAGAAGGTTTTCGCGTGTCGGACACAGGGGGGCGACGCTCGCTCGGCACGTCGCCAGCGTGTCGGGCCGGCGCAGTTTCGATATTTTTCGGGGTGAGCGAAATTATTTGTGGGATGTGGTCCTTGCGCGCGATGGGAACGACGTGGCACTGGTTAAGGCCGGGGGCCCTGCGGAGACGATGCGCTTCCAGGCGTTGGTCGCCAGCGCCGCCTTTGGTGGCATCGGCGTCGCCGCATCGTGCGACTGCGTCGACGCTGACGACAATCTGGCCGACGTTTTGTCGAGGGCGCGTCTCGAAGACTGGGTGGTGCTGTCGAATGTGGGCCCTGGGGTGCTGGGCGTAGTGAACGTTTTGGAGCTTGTGTGACCGCCCTCGATTTCCGTCGCTTGTGGCAGTGCCGGGCATGACCGATCCGACTGGGAAAACAGTTGAGAAAAATGGGCGTTCCGAAATTCTCAATTCCGAGGGGTAGTCACGAAATTTCGGATTCCGTCGTATGGTTAAATGCGGAGTGCGTACCACAAATTCCCGCGGCAATCGCGCCTGTCGGGCCTGCGCAGCAGCTGAGGACAGCAAGCCTAGCGCAAGGAACGACATACATAACGGACAGGCAGCCAGGTCAGACGCGGCAGCCGCATGGCGTTGCGCCCATCGGCTTGTTCGGGAGGCATTTTACTGACGGCGTCCTTGTGCCGCGGTTGGGAAACCGATGGCAAATTGCATTCTGCCCAGGGAGTGGTTTCGGAGATGCGGCGTTGGGGGGTCCTCGGCGAAGGTCGGGCCGAAGGCGACATTGGGGAAGTGTCCAGTCCGTTCCTCGGAACCCCTTCGCATGAAGCGTGCGGGGGTCGCTGGGAGAGTCGGCGAAGCTCGTTGCCGGGCTCACTATGCCGACGCCCCTCCCCCGTCCTGCGTCTTCCAGTCGGGTGGGCCTCCAGGGCTGCAACCGCCGCGGTTCGCTCCGGGTTCAGACCAGGTCGACGGGGTGTCGGGGGGCGTCATGGAGATTCTCGCGTCTGGGGTCCTGGGAGGTCTAGGGACTAGTTGTTAGGACCCCCCTTCCTGGGTCAGGCGGTTCCGCCCCCGTTGGTGGGTGTGATGGGAATGCCAAGGGTATTGCCACGTGGGGTAGGCAATCTGACTCACCTCGCACTTCCGGGGGCGAAGCGGCTGGCTGCCCCGGCCAGCTGCGCGGCCCGCTTCCCCGGCCGGCTGCCGCGCAGCCACTTCGGTACCGTAGCTTCGCCTTCGCGCCCGCCCACCGTAGCGAGACGGGGGGGCAGAGGAGTATTTCGGTAGCTGGGGCAAAAACTCCCGCCATAGTTTTTGGGGTTTTGGGCGCAGTTCGTTCAGGTGGAACCCGCAGGAACGTTGACCAGTTCATTAGCCGTCGCCGCGTCCTGTGCCGGGGGTCTAGCCAACCGCTGCGGCCAGGCGCCACCGCGATCGGTGACCAGGCGCCTTCGCGCGCGCAGGCTGACCTGGGGCACTCCCCGGGCGCGCCTGCCCTTCGCAACGAAAAGGCGGCCTACGTGAGCAAAGCGCGCCGTTCTGTGGGCGACGGAGTGGAAGTTTCCTGCCCTAGTCCCGCTACCCTGTCGAGGGTACCGTCGGGGGGATGCCAGCGCTCCCAGGAGATCCCAGTGGAGTTGCCAAAGTGTCTAGGTAGGCTCACTCATCCCGGGCCCCCCCCATTCCTGCGTCTTCCAGTCGGGTAGGGCCCCAAGGCCTCTTGGGAAGAGCTAGGCGCGAGTGCCGCGGTTCGGCCAGCTCCGAGCTCAGACCAGGTCGGCGGGGTGTTTTTGGGGCGGCCGGATCCGTGCGAGATTCCTGCGTTTGGGTCTTGGGGGGTCTATTGGAAGCTGTCAAGACCCGCCTTCCTGAGTCAAGCGTCTCCGCCCCCACTTGATGGGGGTGATGTGCATGCTAACGATATCAATGCTGCTAATGATGATGGTGATAATGTTGCTGATGATGATGATGATGATGAGGGTGATGGAGATGGTGGTGGTTGCGATGATGATGATGATGACGATGATGATGATGATGATGATGATGATGAGAAAAAGGTGGTTTATGATACTGATGATGGGTGGGTACAATGTGCTGATCATGGTGGTTCTGATCATCTTAATGATGATGATGATCAGGAAGAGGAGGAGGGAGGATGATGATGAGGAAGAGGAGGCGGGGGGGGGACATAGGAGGAGGCAGGGGATGACGATGACGATGGTGATGATGATAATGCTGATGATGATACTGATGGTAACGATGATGATGATGATGCTGGTGATGATGATGATGATGATGATGATGATGATGATGATGATGATGATGATGATCATGATGATTCTGATGATGATGATGATGATGATGATTATGATGATGATGAGTCTGGTGATGAAACTGCTGCTGATGACGAGGAGGAGGGGGGGAGGAGTGGAAGGAGGCAAGGGATCATGACGATGTTGCTGCTGATGATGTTCATAACGATGATGATGCTGATCATGGTGATGATGGTGATGATGATTCTGATGGTAATGATGCTGATGCTGATGATCATGGTAATGATGCTGATGATGCTGATGGTGATGATGCTGTGATGATGGGAATGAGGAGGATGAGGAGGGGGGAAAGGGGTAGGAGCAGGGGAGGGGATGATGATACTGATGCTGCTGATGATGGTGCGATGATGGTTGTGATGCTGCTGATGCTGAGGATGCTGATCATGCTAATGATGCGGATGATGATGGGGATGATGATGATGATGATGATGATGATGAGGATGACGATGATGATGATGATGATGATGATGATGATGATGATGATGATGATGATGATGATGATGTGATGATGATGATGATGATGATGATGATGATGATGATGATGATGATGATGATGATGATGATGAGGATGAGGATGAGGATGAGGATGAGGATGAGGATGAGGATGAGGATGAGGATGAGGATGAGGATGAGGATGATGATGATGATGATGATGATGATGATGATGATGATGATGAGGATGAGGATGAGGATGAGACTGAGGATGAGGATGAGGCGGAGGAGGAGGAGGAAGAGGAGGATGATGAGGAGGAGGAGGATGAAGTGGAGGAGGCGGAGCAGGAAGGGGAGGGAGGCGGGGTGGGAGCGGCAAAAGGTGGGAATGGACAACAAAATGAGCAGGACTGGGCAGGGGCGGGGGGGCTGGGCCGCGTCCTCTCTCCCCCTCTCCAGTCTCTCCCTTCTTCCACATGCTCCATCATGTTGCTCTTCATCCTCGTCCTCGTCGTCGTCGTCCTCCTCCTCCTCCTCCCTCTCCTGGCCCTGCGCCTGTGTCGTTATCCTCCTGCTTCCTCTTCTCTTTGTCCTCCCCCGCTCGCCTCCTTTTTCTTCTTCTCCTCCTCCTCGTCCTCCTCCTAATCCTCATTAAGGAGCAGCACGGTATCGTTCCTCTCCTCGTCCCCATTTCCTCCTCCTCCTCCTCCTCCTCCTCTCGCCTTACATGTCTTCTTTGTCTTCTTTGTCTTCTTCGTCTTCCGCGAATTTCTCTTCGTTGTTCTCCTCCTCCTCCTCCTCCCCATGCCGAGGTGCGGGGCGCGCCGGCAAGCGGAAGGAGAAGTCCGACGATGAGCGAGACACGGTGCGCCCTCGGCTGATTTCGGACGGTTGGCGAGGGGCAGGGCTTATGAGCAGGAGGAGGAGAAGCAGGATGATGATGCTGATGATGCTGATGATGCTGATGATACTGATGATGATGACGATAATGATGATGATGATGATGATGATGATGATGATGATGATGATGATGATGATGATGATGATGATGATGATGATGTGATGATGATGATGATGATGACGATGACGACGATGATGATGATGATGGATGAGGATGATGAGGATGATGACGATGATGATGATGATGATGATGATGATGATGATGATGGATGAGATGATGATGATGATGATGACGATGACGATGATGATGATGATGATGATGATGATGATGATGGTGGTGGTGGTGTTGTGGTGGTGATGGTGATGGTGATGGTGATTGTGATGATGATGATGATGATGATGATTGATGGGGAGGAGAGGAGGAGGAGGAGGAGGAGGAGGAGATGAGGATGAGGATGAGGATGAGGATGAGATGATGATGATGATGATGATGATGATGATGATGATGATGATGATGATGATGATGATGATGATGATGATGCTGATGATGATGATGATGATGATGATGATGATGAGGAGGAGGAGGAGGAGGAGGAGGAGGAGGAGGAGGAGGAGGAGGATGGTGGTGAGGAGGAGGAGGAGGAGCACCCCTCCCGCGGGCACTTCTTTTCTCCCCTCGCAGGCGCGGGTCGGCGGATTCCCAGAGGTTGTTGACAGTGCTTGGCTCCCGCCTGCGTGTGTTTCTCCCACTTCGCCAGCTCATGCTCGAGCTCCGAGAGGTGTGGTGGGTCCTCTTATCGCAGAGATCGACATCGTCTTGGGGCCCAAGGAGGTGTGCTCCAGTGTGTATTTCCTTGAGACCTCATGCAGTGGTCGTGGATAGTGCGTGTCTCCCCGCTGCTTGTTGTGCCTTCTCGTCCAGCTAGATTCAACTATTGGTTTGAGCTTCAGGATGCTTGGCAGGCCCCCTCACCACATCGAGCGTAGCTGCTTTCGACCTTCGGTGATGGATATTCTCTCTTGCCAGCTCCAAATGGTCCATGACTTCCGCGGGACCTGACTGCGTGCGTTTCTCCCACTTCGCCAGCTCATACACGAGCTTCATGAGGTGTGGTGGGTCCTCTTATCGCAGAGATCGACATCGTCTTTGGGCCTGGGGGGTTGTGCTCCAGTGTGGCCACCTCCTTATTTCCCAGAGACCTGATGCAGTGATTGGATAGTGCCTGGATGTGTTGCACCATTCTGTTCTGGTTTGGGGCAGAAGGGAGCAGTAGCAAGGATGGTGGACAATTTGAGCACACCGGTCGGAACTGTCTTCGGGCTACTTTTCATTGTACCTGCTGCGAGGTTGTAATCGTTCCGTCTAGGATTTCGTCGAAAGATCCCATTTCGCCAGCTCATTCTTGAGCTCCATGAGGTATGGTGGGTTCTCTTATCGCAGGGATCGACACCGTCTTTGGGCCTAGGGGGTTGTGCTCCAGTGTGGCCACCTCCTTATTTCCCAGAGGCCTCACGCAGTGGTAGTTGGTAGTGTATGGCTCCCGATTACGTGTGTTTCTCCCACGTCGCCAGCTCATCCTCGAGCTCGATGAGGTGTGGTGGGTCCTCTTATCGCAAAGATCGACATCGTCTTCGGGCCCAGGGGGTTGTGCTCCAGTTTGGCCACCCCCTGATTTCCCAGAGACCTCACGCAGTGGTAGTTGGTAGTGTATGGCTCCCGACTGCGTGTGTTTCTCCCACTTCGCCAGCTCATCCTCGAGCTCCATGAGGTGTGGTGGGTCCTCTTATCGCAGAGATCGGCGTTGTCTTTGGGCCCAGGGGGTTGTGCTCCAGTGTGGTCAACTCCCCATTTCCCAGAGACCTCATTGAGTGGTTGTCGATAGTGTCTGGATGTGTTGCACCATTTCGGCCAGTTCGGTTCAATACTCTGGTTTGGAGCAGTAGCAAGGGTGGCGGACAATTTCAGCACAGTGATCGGAACCGTCTTCGGGCTAATTTCCATTGTACCTGCAATTTGAGCACACCGGTCGGAACTGTCTTCGGGCTACTTTGCATTGTACCTGCTGCGAGGTTGTAATCGTTCCGTCTAGGATTTGGTCGAAAGCTTCCTGCGCGTGTTTCTTTCGGTTCACCAGCTCATCCTCGAGCTCGATGAGGTATGGTGGGTCCTCTTATCGCAGAGATCGACATCGTCTTTGGGCCTGGGGGGTTGTGCTCCAGTTTGGCCACCTCCTTATTTCCCAGAGACCTCACGCAGTGGTAGTTGGTAATGTATGGCTTCCGACTGCGTGTGTTTCTCCCGCTTCGCCGGCTCATCCTCGAGCTCGATGAGGCGTTGTGGGTCCTCTTATCGCAGAGATCGGCGTCGTCTTCGGGCCCAGGGGGTTGTGCTCCAGTGTGGCCACCTCCTTATTTCCCAGAGACCTCACGCAGTGGTAGTTGGTAGTGTATGGCTCCCGATTGCGTGTGTTTCTCCCACTTCGCCAGCTTATTCTCGAGCTCGATGAGGCGTTGTGGGTCCTCTTATCGCAGAGATTGGCGTCGTCTTTGGGCCCAGGGGGTTGTGCTCCAGTGTGGCCAACTCCCTATTTCCCAGAGACCTCATTGAGTGGCTGTCGATAGTGTCTGGATGTGTTGCACCATTTCGGCCAGTTCGGGTCAATACCCTGGTTTGGAGCAGTATCAAGGGTGGCGGACAATTTCAGCACAGTGGTCGGAACCATCTTCGGGCTAGTTTCCATTGTACCTGCTGCGATGTTGTAATCGTCCCGGCTAGGATTTTGTCGAAAACTCCCAATTCGTCAGCTCATTCTCGACCTCCATGAGGTATGGTGGGTCCTCTTATCGCAGAGATCGACATCGTCTTTGGGCCTGGGGGGTTGTGCTCCAGTGTGGCCACCTCCTTATTTCCCAGAGACCTCACGCAGTGGTAGTTGGTAATGTATGGCTCCCGACGGCGTATGTTTCTCCCTCTTCGCCAGCTGATGGTCGAGCTCCGAAAGGGGGTGTGTGTCGTCTTATCGCAGAGATCGGCGTCGTCTTTGTGCCCAGGGGGTGATGCTCCAGTGTGAGCACCTCCTTATTCTCTTGCACAGGGTGTCTAGAGCTCAGACCACTTCCTTCCGCGTCGCACCCCCCCCCCCCGCGTCCCCAGCGCCAGAGTGGGACCCCCGCGCCGTGGCTCTCTGCCCCGAGCCCCCCCGCGTCCCCAGCGCCCTGGCGGGAGCCCCGCCCACCACCTCCCCCTCCCCGCCCCGTCCCCAGCGCCCCAGTTGGACTCCCGCCCCGTGGCCCTCTGCCCCAAGCCCCGCTTAGTGCCCCCTCCGCCCCGACCATTTTATTCCGCGTCGCGATGCACACCACCTCCCCCGCCCTCTCCCCCCGCGTCCCCAGCGCCCCGGTAGGAGCCCAGCCCAGTCACCCCTAGCCCCCCCGCGTCCCCAGCGCTCCAGTAGGAGCCCCGCCCACAGCCCCCTCTGCCACGAACGTTTTCTTCCGCGTCGCACGGCCCTCACCGTCCCGCCCCCACGATCGTTCTCCCCTCCCCGCCCGCCCAATGCACCCCGCCCCCCCTCCGCTCCGACCATTTATTTCTGCTTCGCACCGCCCCCGCCGTCCCGCCCCCCCAAGACTTCTCCGATTTCTCGTCCTCTCTCTCTCCCGTGCGAGCAAGGTTTTCGCTGGCGTCTCGGCCTTCGCCCGCTCCCTCAGTGGACACGGCCACATCAGGTCCATCCAGCATGTGAAGGCGCATCGAAGCGAGGGCGTGATAGATAACTTGCCGCTTGTGGAGCGGGCGCCTGCGAAAGGTAACCGCGCTGCTGACCTCCACGCCAAGGAGGCTCTCAAGATGCACGCTCCCATCGGACCCGAGGCAGCCAATCGCTTAGAGTCTGAAGTAGAGACCGCCAGGTATTTTGTCAAGCTTGCAGCTAGTGTGCTACCAGCCTTCCAGTCCCGAGCGAAGCGCGTCAGGCCCTTTGCCCGTCACCGTTCTGTAAAGTCAGCTCCTGGGTGGCATGAGTGGGAGAGTGGACCGCTTGGTATGCAGTGCAAGCATTGTCTGGTGGTCGCCCATGAGGGTAATTACCCCCCAAGAGGCTCTGGGTTGCTCTGGGGCCCCCGATTTCTTTCGGCAGGTCGTCCGCCGTTCCCTGGGGCACCTGATAGTTGGTGTGGCCTCTCACGAGATCCACCCCGGAGCCCCAGAGCCATCGCAAGCCAAGATGAATCGGCTTCAGTTTCTGTGCGTTCGTTGCGGCTGCTGGGCCCAGAGGTGCTCCCGTAATCTTGACAAGGAGTGCCAACGACCCTCTAGGAAGGGTCGCGAGGTATTAAGTAAGTACTCGCGAGGCCTGGGCCCCAGTAGTCGTGTCCGTCAATTGATTGATAGAGCTGCTGCGGTCACTGCAATGTCTGTGGTCCCCAAGCCGCGTTCTAAGACTCTTGCTTGTACGTCTGTTCCCTCGGCCCATTCGAGTGCCCCCACCGTCCCTGAGTACGAGAGACGGATGGCCGCCCTCGCAGAGCGAGTGCGTGCCAAGGAGGCCCTCCAGGCTGAGGAGTAGTTTTGGGTCGTGGCACCCCGTCGCGGGCCCTGGTCAGAGTGTGGGGAGCTCTGTCCTCCAGGGTAACAAATCCCTCTCCGAGGGGTGCCACTTCCCCCCATTGTTTTAGTCTTGCGAGACTCTTCCTCTTGGGGCTGTCCTAACCTAACCTCCTCCTCTTTCTCCTCCTCCTCCTCCTCCTCCGACTCCTCCTTTTCCTCCTTCCCCCTTCGTTTTGTGCACGAGCCATGGCACGCGTGCCACTTGTTTCCCAGAGACCTCATGCAGTGATGATTGGATAGTGTCTGGATGTGTTGCACCACTTCGGCCAGTTCGGTTCAATACTCTGGTTTGGAGCAGTAGCAAGGGTGGCGGACAATTTCAGCACACTGGCCGAAACTGTCTTCGGGCTAATTTG